GAGGCAGAGGCAGGAGACTCGCTTGAACCCAGGAGTTGGAGGTTGCTGTGAGCTGTGATGCCATGGCACTCTTCCCAGGGGGATAGCTTGAGGCTTGGTCTCAAAAAAAAAAAAGGATATGGGCTTTGGAGTATGACTAACTTGGTTCATAATGCAAATTATATTTTACACCAATTTTGTTCAAGAAAACATTACTGTTGAATGTTAACTGTGTATTTGACACCATTCTAGATTCAGAAGAATCAGAGACAAGCGTTAAAAAATGTTGTTCCTGGCTCGGCGCCTGTGGCTCAAGCGGCTAAGGCGCCAGCCACCTCAGTTGACAGGTTTGATCCAGCTTGGGCCCGCCAAACAACAATGACGGCGTTGTGGTGGGTGCCTGTAGTCCCAGCTACTTGGGAGGCCGAGGCAGGAGAATCTCTTGGGCCCAGGAGTTGGAGGTTGCTGTGAGCTGCGATGCCACGACACTGTACCCAGGGCAACAGCTTGAGGCTCTGTTTCAAAAAAAAAAGTTGTTCCTGCTATCAGGGAGGAAATGATTATAAACCATAATAAGTCAAAAGTCTTTGAAAGGGAAGAAATGCGTATGTAGACACATGTGTAGTTCTAATTCAGACTGGGAAGGTAAAGGAGGTTTCCCTGAGAAAGTGATATGGCAGCTCTGTCGCCTTGAGAAAATTACCTCCCTGAACTTCAGTTTTCTCACTTTCAAGATGGGGGCCTGACAATACACCACAGGTTGTGTTGATTAAGCCATGAATGTGGAAGAGTTCAGCCGGAAACTTGGTATAGAGTGCTGGTAACTGCTGCTGTTATCCTCATGAGGATCTGTCCATCCCTCCCAGAGCCTCTGCCAATGCAGCTGCGGCCCCCTCTCAGTGAGCCAGCCTTGGCTTTTGTGGTAGCACTGGGTGCCAGTAGCAGCGAGGAAGTAGAGCTACAGCTGCAAGGTCGTATGGAATTCTCCAAGGCAGCTGTGTCCCGTGTGGTAGAGGTCTCAGACCGCCTTCAACGCCGAGTAGAAGAACTCTGTCAGCGAGTATACAGCCGAGGTTGGTTCTTTGTACCTTTACCCCAGGGTTGTCTGTCTCCGTCTGCATCATTATGGTACCACTTCCCTATCCTGCTAATTGCCTGTACTCACAGACAGCAAGAATTCCCCAAGGAGAAGTTCAGCCATGTTCTTGGGGAGTGGGTTAGGCTATAGAAGGGGGTTAGGTTCCTGGAGTTGAATTCTAGGAAGATGAGTTAGACAAGTTAATGATGCCAGTATGGCCTCCCCCTTCTAGCTAGGAACCAGTCTGGAGCACTTTTTGCAAGTAGCTGATCTACAAGGTATGGTAGCAAGTGCTTAGTCTCTTCAAGTTGATAGGCTTCTCCCAGTTTCAATTTTGCTACTCTACCCTGGTCTTTATGGGCACATGGTTCCCCTCTCTTTCTCTATAGAGTGGGATAAAAACTGGCTTTGCCATGAGAAATTGGCAAAAGAGCTGGTGGGTCACAGTGGGCACGTAACAGATTCTAGAATGAGTTAGACTTTGTGCCATTGTCCTGAGTTTGCCTCCTACGTGAGCCCTGCCTTCTCAGGGGACAATGAGCCCCTCAGTGAGGTGGCTCGAGCACGCACCCGGGAGCTGGGCCGTGAGAACCGGCGGCTGCAGGATTTGGCCACTCAGCTACAGGAAAAGCATCACCGCATCTCATTGGAGGTAGGAGTCAGGGGCTTTGGAGGTGGGATTATAACCAGGGCAAAGTTTGGATTAGATAAGTACCCAAGGATCTCAGGGAACCAAGTCCTCTATTCGAGCATCTCTTCCTTCCATTTCCCCCAGTACTCCGAGCTCCAAGATAAAGTGACATCAGCAGAGACAAAGGTGCTGGAGATGGAGACAACTGTGGAAGACCTGCAGTGGGACATTGAGAAGTTGCGCAAGCGGGAGCAGAAGCTTAATAAACACTTGGCAGAAGCCTTAGAGCAGGTAGGGTTAGGGTTTTGGGGTAGATGGAGCCAGAGTTG